TTCCAATTCAGAAAGGGGACAAGTTCAGTAATTTACAATGTCCGAAAAATGAATTAGAACGAAAGGAAATGGAAAATATTCCTTATGCATCAGTGGTTGGGAGTTTAATGTATGCTCAAACGTGTACTCGACCAGATATCAGCTTTGCTGTTGGAATGTTAGGTCGGTACCAGAGTAATCCTGGAATGAATCACTGGAAAGCTGCAAAGAAAGTTCTAAGGTACTTGCAAGGCACCAAAGATTATATGCTCACATACAGAAGATCAAATCATCTGGAAGTCATTGGTTATTCAGATTCAGATTATGCTGGATGTGTTGATACCAGAAAATCGACTTTTGGATATTTGTTTCTACTTGCCGGAGGAGCAGTATCATGGAGGAGTGGAAAGCAGTCTGTCATCGCTGCTTCCACCATGGAAGCTGAGTTTGTAGCATGTTTTGAAGCTACCGTTCACAGTTTATGGATGCGGAACTTTATCTCAGGGCTTAGGATTGTCGACACTATAGCTAGGCCGCTGAGAATTTACTGTGATAATTCCGCAGCTATCTTCTTCTCGAAAAATGATAAGTACTCGAAAGGTGCTAAGCATATGGAGATAAAATACTTATCTGTCAAAGAAGAAGTGCAGAAACAAAGAGTATCATTTGAGCATATCGGTACTGATTTTATGATAGCGGATCCATTAACTAATGGACTGCCGCCTAAGACTTTTAATGCTCATGTTGATCGTATGGGCATTATAGATAAGTCGTTGCTGTAATTTAAATAATTGCTCATTATATATGATATTTTGAATTCAATAAAGTCTTGTTTCTGTTATTGAAAGTCATATTATCATTAAATTATTTGTGTACATATGAAGTTGATAAAGATAATATGCATTATTGTTCTATAATTACTTCTGGCCATAAAATAGGTTTTGGATGACAAACGCTTGTGATACTTGAAAGGAATCATATTCAAATAAAATGATGTGTGACCGCCAAGATTCAATCGTTTGTTGTTCAAATAAAAGTTATCGATGACAGATAAATACAATATAAAAGTACGCGTTTAAAGATTGTAGATCATCAAATCATCACAAGGGCCAAGTGGGAGAATGTTGGAAATATAACATGTTAATGGCCCATGTAATTTTGTGTTTTAAACTTCAATATGATCTTGACTACAATGATGGAAATGAGTTTATTATGGTGTTGAAGTTTATGGGTATTTAAGTTTATTCCCCTCTCCTTACCCTATAAATAGTGGACATTTGGTTCATATTTTTATCCATCAAAAAATCTATCAAAGTTAGGGAGAAAGGAGAGAAAACAAACAAAAACCGATTTACCGAATTGTTCTTCAAAGTCATTCCGCTGCAAAATGGATTCAGGTATAATTCTTATCCGATATGTATATTAATTTCGAATTGTATGAATTATGCAAAAACCGTATCCAGTTTTTGGTGAGTTTTCATAAAGTTATCGAAAACCATCAACATAAAGTATTTTACAAAAAGAACAGACTCCAATCTAAAATTAGTATCACGGCAGCGTTAGAAAGCGGTGGCATCCTCCACAAATCTAAGAAGGGTCTTGATTGTTAAAATGTGGAAACAAATATAAATTTAAAAAAATTTAAATTGATTGGAAATGATTATAATGATGATGGAGAAAAATTAAAGACACAAAATTAATTAACAAATAATGATAATTGTATCAATTATCTCTTGATTTATTTATTTACATCATATATTTTTTTTTTGTAAATTTCTTTCTTTAATTATTTTGTATTTGTTTCTTATAAATAGATGAGTTATTTTCATTGTAAAATAACAAGAAGAAGACATGTAGCAATAAAAATAATTTCGTTCCTTTCTATTTATCTTATTTTATTTCCGTATTTTATTTTTCAATATGGTATAAGAGCAACGTTACGATCTGATCTATATACTTCTTTTTTCATAGTTATTATTTTTCTACTCTCTTCATTTTTGAGTTCTTAATGTTCATATATCCAAATGGTTTAAAGTGGAGGAAAATCCATAATCAAACGAGGTGTTATGACAAAAGGAATCAAAGCCAGAAAAAAACTCCAAAATCAAGCGAAGTGCTATGACAAAAGGAGATAAAGGTAGAATTCCATGATCAAACGAACTGATTTGAGGATGGATCAAATCTCTCAAAAAACCAGATTGATATCTATGGATCATTTGGTTAACAATGAATTACTCATCGAGTTTTTAAATTATTTCAGGTATTCTCTCCAAGATTGACCTTTTACATCATCTCCAAGTTAATCTTGAGGGGTAATGTTAAAATGTGGAAACAAATATAAATTTAAGAAGATTGAAATTGATTGGAAATGATTACGATGATGATTGAGAGAAATTAAAGACACAAAATCAATTAACAAATAATGATAATTGTGTCAATTATCTCTTGATTTATTTGTTTCCATCATATATTATTTCTTTGTAAATTTCTTTCTTTAATTATTTTGTAATTGTTTCTTATACATAGATGAGTTATTTTCATTGTAAAATAACAAGAAGAAGAGATGTAACAATAAAAGTAATTTCGTTCCTTTCTATTTATCTTATTTTATTTCCGCATTTTATTTTTCTACATCGGTGATCGCAGCCGCCTGCTCCTCCCTCGCACGCCTCTCCTCTTCTCGATGCTCCTCCAATTGTTTCACCCACTCCTATAAAGGCGGAGGAGTGTATTCTCTTTCGTCGGTTGTAATCTCCTATCGTAGATATCTGACTTCATTCGGGCGTTCGAAATTTTTTTTGGTAACGTTTGGAAACCCGTCCTCGGCCCTTCGGACCGGACACCGCAATGCCTCGCAGCCCAAGAACCGGACGAATGACACAATATTACGGGCAGTAAACTCACACAGCCCCACGCAATAGCCGGGGAGCAGGTAAACCACTACAAAAAAATCATCGAATTCCAACGGATTTTCCAACGGATTTTCAACGGTTTTCAACGGCATTTCAACGACGATTTCCGTTAAAATTCCGTTGAAAATTTCCAACGGGTATCCGTTGGAAACACCCGTTGGAAATTTTTAACGGAATTTTCAACGTATTCAATTGACAACCGATATCCGTTGGAAATTTTCAACGGATTAACGTTGGAAAAATCGGTTGCAAATTTTTAACGGAGTTCCAACGGATGTTTGTTAGAAAAAAAATTCCAACGGAATTCCAACGGATGCCGGTTGGAAATTTTTTTGGAAAATTTTAAAAACAATTCCAACGGAATTCCAACGGATGCCGGTTGGAATTTTTTTTGGAAATTTTTTTTAAAAAAATTCGAACCGAATTCCAACGGATGCCGGTTGGAAATTTTTTTGAAAATTAAAAAAAAATTCCAACGGAATTCCAACGGACATCGGTTGAAAATTTGGATTTTAATTGAAAAATCAATTGAAATATATATATATTTATACATATTCGAATTCATATATATATATATATGTATAATATATATTTGCTATATATATATCAAATATATATACACAAAATATACATGTATTTATACATATATATGTATAAATATATAAAAAACTCGTATATTTAAATATATATATACATACATATAGTGTGAATATGT